GATGGAACGAAAAGTAACTTATTTGGAAAGAAGCTCCGCAAAACTACCAGACTTTTATCAACAATGACAAAGACTAATGCCTCGGTCGACCGGTCAGGAAATGGAAAATGCTTTCTAGAGTTATTTCAGTTATTTAGTGTAAATGGAGAGTTCCAGATAATTGAATCAACCTTATACAGTACGTTTTTCTCAGCTAATCTGAGATTTCAATGTAGTGATCGTAATTGTTTTTTTTTCAATTTTCAGATACACACTCTTTCACAATCTGGAGAATTTTATAGTTTTGTAACTTCTATCAAACTTTCATTCAAGCGAACACATTTTTCTATGCGCCTTCTATTATTTCCTCCAACTCTTGTCAGTTTCCTAGGTGTGATTTTTTTACACGCTCGTATAATTCTTGCATGGAGATCTTTCCAACTTGTTGGGTTATCCTTATGAACTTCATTTTTCAACGTTCCTCATAAATGAAGATCAGTGGAGTTAGATCTGGGGATCATGGTGGTCATACTATGAGAGGGCAACTGGGTCCTTTCCATTTCATAGGTAGGTTTTCATTGAACCAAACCCTTGTTATGCCACTATTGTGAACAGGTGAACCATATAACAGGTATGAAGGTAGTTCGTTCAACACAACGGAAAATGCATTTTCGAGAAAACCAACAAATAGTCGTCCGTTTAGATTTTAATCGAAAAAAAATGGCACGATAATATTTTCTTTCAAAATGATAATAATAACGTCCTTTATTATTTACTCTTTTAATACATTTAAATAAAAAATAATGCTTTACAATATGTTCAACAAAATAAAAGGCCAAGTTCAACTCGGCAGCGGAGAGTGATACTCTGTTATTCTTCCATTTAATCCTATGCGTACCTGTTGAATGATACAAAAGAACAATGTATAAAAAAATATTAAAAAATGTCTATACAGTTTTTGCTGAAAGCGGCAGTTTTCAACCTTGTTATGTGAAAATAATGAATAAAAACCTACTGATAAGTCCTGAACAAATAATTTTTGAGTTGGGTTTTGAAAGTTTGGATACTTCTTGATTTGAAATTTGGCGGAATGAGATTGTATATCTTGCAAATCTGGTAACTGAACGATATCCTGAAGAGTTCAGTTTTGAATGGGGGTGGGGACAATATTCCTCGATGTCTAATATTGACATTATAAATATCAGTGCCAAATGTTATTTTCTGATGAAGACAGGAAGGTCTTCCGGTAAGAATGATTTTATGAAAGAGATTTCCAGAATGTAGAATCCTTCTGTTCTCCATATTTAACCAACCCCTTTCACATATCTTGTTGGAAATTCTTTCTCACTTCCTCATTCCATATATTAACCGAAAGCAAGAATTTTGTATCTTCTGAATTCTTTGTTTATATTGATTGCTTAAATTTGGTCCATAAACGGAGTCCGCATAATTGAACACATTAACTTTATGAGATATTTGGTCTCTACAATTCACCAACCAATTTGGATATTGTTCAGCCTCATCACTGTATAAGATATACTGTCAGATGATTTTCCTCGATCTATAAACAATACTCCATACGGCAGATTTCACTCCCTTCGTGCAAAGTATGTAGAAATTTGGATTTGAACGCATGCATTTTATGCTTCTTTATACACCTTCATATTCCACTGCGGCTCATATTGAGTTGAAGCGATACGTTTCTCAAACTAAATCTAGGATCACTTTGATAAATAATCCGTCAATATGTTGTTTCACAATTTTTCCGTCTTCCGTTACGTGACCGGTGCTCATGAAAAGAGTATATATATTTTATGGAGAGTTCCAGGTTGTCTTCAATTGAATTCAGCGGCCGCTTCACAATAATACCTCACGCCTTCACCAATAACAGAAAATAATTTGTTTCTTGTGACAGACGTGCGATATTGAACTTTGTTAATCAAAATGAGCTGATATCATTCAAAATAGGAACTTCAGAAATATAAAATATGAACAGTAACTCACGAACAGGAAACAACTGGAACACAGCAACAATACACAACACAAACACAGGAACCATGGACACAATGCGTATGAAACACTGCAGAAGCAACAGGAACAACAGTGGTGAAAGGAACAACAATACTAGAAACAATACTGTATCTGTAGAGTAGAGAGGGTGGGTGTAGACCCACAGCACTTAGGCCACATGTGACCCATTGTACATCCTCCCGAGAAGTTGTCCTTCTAGGTCATCGTCCATCTTGTCCTTCTAGGTCATCGTCCATCCTGTCCTTTCCAGGAAGGTGGTCAGGTCACTAGGAGACCTCTTCTTTATATTGGCAGGTGTAGGCCAAGACGCGTCTAACACATTCTCTCTTTAGCAACCTTGATTTGCCTCACGGTGGCCTCCGCGTAGGTTTTAGAAAGTGCAGCGACATTACTGTCATTGTGCGGCTTCGTTGCTGTTGTTGCACGGATGAGGTAGCTTTCCTGCAGGAGCAGCCGGTTCCTTGTCTTTCTTCAAGGTGGAGCTTTTGGCGCCCGCCGCAGGAAGTGCCTTTGTTGTTGGAGGTGGAGTGTAGGGGGAGGAGGGTGCACTTATAGTTGCTGCCACTCCTGTCTCCTTCGCTCTCTTTCTCCTTTTGGCTTTGGCGCCGCTAATGTGCTTACGCCTTTGCCTTCGTATTACATCACGAGGTGATGTACTATGTCCAGCCTCATTCCAAGCGGTAGATTGGAATGGACTTTTCTGTTCTTCCCCAGCCACCTCCTTAGATTGAGGTGAGCACTTCTGTCTAGCCTCGAGATTGGTTTTTGTTGTTTTTATTTTTGTGCTTGTTTCATTCATGTGTATTCCAACGAGTAACAAGGGAAGAGTTGGTCACCTCAGGCAGAGCCCCGCATTACCAGAGGTAGGCTGATTATAATGAGGTTTCGCCCAGTTTCTCAAGGGGATCGTTCGTAACCGCATATCACCCTGAGGCCATTCAGCTGTCGGCACGTTTCCTTACACTTTTGCTTGGGTAGGCTGGTCCACGATGGCATGTTTTGCAAAGGCTTTTGGAAAGTTTTAGTTCTCCTCACCCTACTTATTTCTGCCACTGACCAGGAGTCCGGCGACCCTGTCTGTTAGGCCACATTGGCTTCCCGGACAGGGCCACCAGTCCCCTGATTGTTTCCCTATCCGCTATCTGGGGACGCGCCCGATAGGTAGCCCAACCCACGGGCTGTTCTGGGTTCGATACAATAAGATATTTCAACAATATTGTAAGTTGACAGTAAATATCAGTGAGCAACTTCCTCACATCCAAACAAATACGTGAAAATGTCTGCATCTTTGATATCTGAGAGTACTCTCCATATAAAATGAAGGGGTTTAGGTTTTGGAAGCGAACTATTTTGCTCGCTAGTATGTTTTACCGGAAAAATGGGGTTTTCACGAGTGGCCGGCAGTGTATATTACTTTGGCCAACCCCATTTAGGTCGTAGATGTATTTAGGTAGTTGGGTATTTTCATCAGTCCTAAAAATTTTATCATTCTACCTCTATTATTTCGGAAGATACATGTTTCCATGAAAAGTGAGACAAATTCGGATTCATCAGAACTGAAATTTTTCCAAGAGAAAGTGTATTTGTAGTAACTTGGTAGTCCTGATCACGAATCTGAAGGAATTTTGAGCCTATTTTGCCCCCTAGTATATTTTACCGTAAAAATGCATTGTTCCATCGCGACTGGCGGCAGTATGTAATGAATTTGGGCAACTCCTTTCAGGTGATAGGTGGATTTTCAGCATTTCCATCAGTCCTGAGAGTTTCATCATTTTACCTCGATTATTACGGAAGACACGGGAGTGTTTCCATAAGATGTGTGACACCCTATATTGTAATGAATCTGAAGCCGCCCCTGACCGATACGCCAGCCGACTCATCGAACAAATACATAACCTCACCGCGAAAGAATACAACCGCGAGTAAAAATCTAGTCGAGTACCGATTCGTCTACAAAATTCTCGAAAGGACCTCTACCGATATGAGCCCGTTTTCCCGACCCAAAAGGGTAGTTCAGAAAGTGAATCAAGCGGCTAAATAACAAATTCTAATAGTGGAAATGAATTAGGCGTTAGTTGCTAAGTGTTGTAATAAATAAATTAGTTTGTGATTATCAAAATATAATTAGAAATAAATTGTTTAAGACAATGAAGAAACGAGAATTGAAACTTTCTATGTATTTTACCACTTTTATTTGTAACTAACGTTACTGCAGTTTTGTCCTATAAGGACATTTTCAAACTCATACATTAAAAAACATAAAAAGTTTCAATTCTCTTTTCTTCATTAAGATCTCCTACCACTTAGTGAAGGCTAGATCCATCAATTTATTATTTACGACAGTTAATTCATTAATTTGCCACAGTATATTGCATCGCAAGCGCATCAAGAGGAAGTTTAATCCTCCTCTTGAAGATGATCACTTGGTGATCGAAACACGTGTCGAGGTGTTGAAATAACGGTTTGGTGTTGGGAAAAAACTCCAGTAATATTCATGAAATTTCAAATTCACTTCATTGTTTTGTACTAATTTTTTCTATCACAATCATTTTGCAATGTTATTCAAAGAAAAAATCACAACTTGATAAATTATAGGTCCTAAAGAAGCTTTCCATCAAAAGCAAAAGCTTGGCAAAGTAAAGCAGATTTTTTATTTTGGTTATTGACTGATAGAGTCTGTTAATTGATTTCAATCTGTTTGTCTGTTCTTGAATTAATTTCATGACTTCCTCTTGATATAATTCACTCTATTGATAACGTAAGCTTCCACAATATGCTTTTGTATGATTCATGCAGAACTATATGAATGAAGGTAAATTCAATAGACTTGGAACCCGTGGGAGAAAATACCTGTATCTGATGAAACACTTTTTACACACACCAGCACTAGAGCATTGTCTCTCGACTTGCGTTCTGCTAACCAAGTTAGCATCATCAGAAAATCACCAAAATAAGTTCAAGTGATCACTTGTTTCAACGGAAATTCATTATATTTTTTTCTATTACAGAAAATGCAACGAGGGCGTGTTCATCAAATGCAACCTGGCTGAAATCAAATTATTCGATGTGTAGGGAAATAATCACCTTACCTGGAGATGTGGAGACACAAACTAAAATATACGTCGCAGGATATACCTTAAGTTTAATAACTTTAGCGATAGCTGTCACTATTTTTACCTGTTTCAAGTGAGTATTGTCATGGAGTAATAACATATTTTGATTGAGAAAAAATGAGAAATATTCATCAACGGTCGTGAAATCAAATTCGAAAATTATTTTCCACTCCGTCCTTTATCCACTTAAATGTGTCGATGATATTTCATTTTACGCAGAAACACTGACTTGCACTCAACAAATAATATAATGGTTTACTGATAATATTTACCAGCAACTTTTTCATTATAACTATGGTAATGTCGGCAAATATTTGTTTCAGAGAATTACGATGTTTACGAAATACAATACACATGAACCTTATGTGTTCTTATATGTTGACATACTGCATGTGGATTTCTACATTGATATTCGTAAGTATATATCCATTCAACAATGATAATGTTTGAACAAATCCAGACACAGGCAGTCAATACAATTACTATCATCAATATGAGATGTATGTTTTTAATGAAACATCAGTCACTCGAAATCATTTATTAACTGACAGGTAGGGTAGGGAGGGAAAATGGCGGTTACCTAAGGAAAACATGGTGTATTTTTTAAATTGTTTATTATAAATCATAATAAGGAAAAGTAACAAATTCTTCTATTATCAAGTAATCAACAATTCAACAACAAAAGCAACTATTTTTGACCTACTAGTAGTGAAAAAACATTTAAAAAATACATGTTGGAGCGGCATTCCCCATGACTTTGGGTAATACCGCTTAGGGTACGGGGTAATGAGATCAACCTTATATTTTATTTTTGGACACATAAATCACAGATGTATCCATCTGGCGAATCCGATCCTGAACATATAGCATGAGCCCCAGTCCGCAGATTGAATAAATTCAATATTTACAAAATGAGCATCTTTCGGAAGAAATCCAAAAACAGGTCAACTTTAATTTTTGACGGCCCGTTTCATGATATTCATATGAAAGACGTTTCGTCACCGGTGTTGGCGTGATGACGTAATCGACAATTTTTTTAAATGCAAACAGGGGTCATGTGGCACCTCATTCAAAAGGTCTACTAATCATCTATTCAACGGTATAACCATGCCAATATTCATTTATACAAGGTGAATCAAAACATGTTATTTATTGAAGTACAATAAAATTATAATAAATGTTCAAATTGATGACCTTCAGCTATGATGCAATGTGAAAGCCGGGCACTGAATTCATTTCTAACGTTTCCGAGAACTCCGGGGGTTATTTGTGCAATCTCCGCTCTGATGCGTTCCTTCAACTCTTCTAAATCATTTGGTCGATTTTGGTAAACTTTACTCTTCAAGTATCCCCATAAAAAAATTGAATATCATGAGATGGGCCGTCAAAAATTAAAGTTGACCTGTTTTTGGATTTCTTCCGAAAGACGCTCCTTTTGTGAATATCGAATTTATTCCAAACATTTGCATCGTACTGTATAATAATACATCCATAATACATCATCCACATTCATTTTGACATCACTGTCAACGTTGCAAAGGTGCTCTTCATCTTCACTCTCTGAAGAACTTTCTTGTGAAATTTTTCTCTTGCAAGTTTTCTCTTTCAAATGTTTGTTCTTTTCTTTGCCAACTCTTTTTGGTCTTGATTCATCATCTTTTCCAATCTTATTGAGTTTCGCAATTTTTTATAGTAAATAATTTCCATAGGTCTCGCAGTTAATATGGTAGCATGTTGTTTTTGCTTTCTTTGACCTGCTTAATTGATGGATCTGCCAAAGGAGATGTATGTCTTAGAATTATAGCCATACCATCAGACTTCGCATCTTCAAAATTATGAACATTTGGGAATAGGTTTTCAGCGATTTGCTTCGATTCTTGTGCCATCAACGACGCTGCCAAAAAATCTTGATCAGTGAAAACATTCGGGTTCAATGGGTAAATTCCCGTGGCTCAAAGTCCAGATTCTGCTTTACTTATATTCACAACTTGTACTTATGCTTTATTGAAAAGACCTGCTACATCAAATGGAATTATTTCAGACACTAAAAGTACCTTCATATGCCTGTTGCATTCATGCCTATAAAGCTTCCAGCGGCCCATTGTATGACACATTCAGCGGCTGTGTTCTGTGAGAACTGTGTGGTGGAATGGTAAGCATTGTGATATGGTTTTCCCTACAAAAATTGAAGGCTTGAAGGGAAATGGGAAATGTGACTGATGTGATTGTCCGGAATTAACAACACAGGTGATTCTTGGGTCGGCCCAGCAAATTCTGTGAAATGTTTGACCCAAGTGACAAATAAGTCTTCGTTTATCCAGCCGTTTTTAGAGTTGGTGTATATTGCACCAGCTGGTCCATCTTTTTCTAATGATGGCATCATTCTCTGTCTGGCAAAAATAAACATAGGCGGTATGAAGTTTTCGGCTGCACTTATCGCACACATAACTGTTATGTTGCTTCCTCGTTCGCCGCTTGAAACAGACCCGATTATACTTTGTCCTTTCTCGGCGAGCACTTTTCCAGGGTCTATCACTGTGGTGATATCAGTTTCGTCTGCATTGTATATATTTTTGGGAATAAACTTAAGTTTTTTCCCTAAGTCGCCTAGTTTATCATAGAAATGAGTTATTTCTTTTTTGTTGAAAGCATAAATTCTATTCAAGCTTATCGCTTCAGCTTTGTGTATAGAAACCGAAGGATTGCGTCTCATAAAGGAGTGCACCAAATCCAATCAGGCTGTTTTGCTGCTTTGATCTTAATTGTTTTTGATATTGTTGAGCTCAGCATATTTAAAAACAAGTTTGCGCGAAACTGCGACACTGAGTCTGTAATATGCTCATGTTTTAGTCGATCCCTCGAAGTATTAAATGGTATGTTATATTGTTTTGCGGCTTTTCTTTTCGACAAACCTCCTTAAAATGCAGTTTTAGCATTTTGTAGGTCTTCTTCGGTCCAAGCCGCTTTAGCAGTGGTCTTGTGATATTTCTTGGCATATCTACAACAATAAAAATATAAATCACTAAGGGGTAATGACACTCAGATGAGCGATATAACCCCAAACGGTCATTTTGTAATAAATTTGAAATTATAAACAAACATACACAATTTTTGGAAAATGATTGCAATAAGTATAATATCTGAACAAAAATTAGATCTGCACGACCGCAAATGAAAAAACACACTTTATTATCCTTAGATGCGAGCTGACTGTTTGCAACTTTACTTCTATACGGTGGCAACGCGCTTCACGCAACGTAATGTGTTACTACTTTCCAATTTAACAGAATCACAGAGGTGGGCCCCAATGAGCACTATTCCCCCTCCCATTCCTACATAAAATTTCTAAGAGAAAAGTTTTTTAATTTTTATTTCTACTGCTACGTAAAACCTTTTTTGTTTAATAGCAATGGTTTGAAAGTGTGAAAGAATCATGAATTGAAATATATTGAAAACAAAATAAAACTGTAATGAATATCGGTGAACCGTATATTGAGAGAGCTATATTTTATGAAGCTAGCAGCTTTCCATATTAAAATACACGCTTGCTCAATTGTTAAACTACCCAATCATGAAAGGTGTTTTTCGTAGAATAGTTAATATTCTGTTTTGCAAAGTAGATACAAAATATGCTCCCAACAACTGTCGGCTAATTGCTCTACTACCAATAGTGTCCAAAATCAAACAAAATTGTTACAAAGACCCCACGAATTACTTGAATTTTTTTTTTCAAATATTCATCATGGATTTTTTGAAAGAAAAGGTACTGAATTAGCATTATCGAATTCCACTATCGATGTACAAGAGAGCATTGACAAAAGTTTAAAAAACTGACTCAGTTTCAGACATATCCAGAGTGCTCGTTACCGTTTCCAAAAGAATTCTACTGAAGAAGCATATACCAGAGGTATTCCTATTGATTTGACAGTTATTATAGTGCTATGGTGGAGCTTGATGGAGATTTAGACGGATTGAGGCGAATAGAAAATGGTGTACAACAGGGATTAGTTTTGGGTCCAGTTTTTTCTCGCAGTTGTCACTAACGATACGGATATATACTTTTGCTAATGACACTGCCCTTCTCTACTTCAAATAAAAAAAAATAGTTGTTTACAATAACATGTTCTGTGACCTTAATATGACTTGGAACTAGTGTCACACAATGAAATACATTTGAAAAAACTAACTATAATAATTTCCCAGCTCGAGACAAAAACCATTCCAACTATACACTAGGATTATATAAATTGGATTCGGAGTATGAAGATTTTAGACTTTTGCTACTCTACTGATCGAATATAACACACGAAATACTTGAAAAGTTCTCAAAAAGTTTCCATCTGGCAATCGGATTTATAGTATCGAGTAGTTTTGAAGTGATGACAAATTCATATTTTTTCAATCAATTCATTATTTTTATTTCCTGCAGGTGAATTACGCCAACAATACATCGATGTTCTGTGTCTTCAATGTGATGTTACTCCATTACTTCCATATAACTACATTTTTCTGGATGTTTGTTGAAGGTAAGCTGATTGTAAATGTATTCCAATATTGTTAAAAATATCACTTTATTGTCACTGTAGCTGGTGAAAAGTCAAATATCACTCAGTTGAAGGATGCTTTTCAGAAAAATTCATTTTTTGCGACCGCACAACTTAAATGGCTTTTTCGGAAAATCAAGGTGCAAAACGAAAAAAAATATTCAAAGAATAGGGAACAAGAAATTATCGAACAATGGGCATCATGAGAAGAATATTTAAAAAGTCTACCAGACGAATGAAAATTCTGTGCATGAATCGATACATCAAGGCTCTGATAACGTGTATTCATATGTACTAAATCAGTAAAAGAGGTTCAACTCGAAAACACCAAAAAATAAATACAGGGTTATTGAAAAATTGGGAGAAAAACCAAATGATAAATGTTCACCGACTATTTCCAAAACGGAGAAAAGGCAGAATGATTAGAGAGTGGAATTGTAAAAAATAGTGATTCATGAAAAATTCCATTCAGAGTTCAATCGAACATTGGTATAGTACGCGCAAACTGAGAAGAGATTTTGATGCGCATTAAAAACCAAATTTTAACCGCCCCAGAAGGTAGCTTTTGGTCACACAAACTGATGTCAATAATATATTGGCGAAATATGACTAACGTGGGGGGAGTTTTTCAACAAAGAAAGATTTTACGTTTCTGCGCTGACTCATCTTATTTGGTGCGTGCTGTACTAATCCATGAAAAGTAAAAAGAATCACAAAAAAATAATGAGAAAAATAAAAAGACAAGAATGAGTACTTTGAGTGAAGAAAGGCTGAGGTCATCTATTAGAATCGCTTTGAGTAATTTTTTGATGATGCCAGCCTAGTTAATGAATTACATATCCTCATACATTTCTGTATTCTCGATTTAGCTGAATATTTCGTGAATGAATAACTATCCCAACTGAACTCCTAACTTCACTTCGATTGAATAATTAGCAGATTTCGATATTTCTTCTTTCATTCCAGGACTCTACCTCTACATTCTTGTCGTGAAAACGCTGACAAGGGAGAGTTTCAAGCTAAGGGTGTACGCGTGTCTTGGCTGGGGTAAGTTGATGGTATAATTTCACTCAAGAATACTTTTATTGAAAAGAGAACATTACATCAATTCACACTCTCAAATGATTTTTGAAATTTTATAAGATGAGTTACAAAGGCAATAAAAAAAAATTGCATCCTCATGGTACACGAGGATGATGATCATATAATATAAATTGATAGAAAAGGATTCAGCATAAGGATAAATACATCTGCATTTTGAGGCGACTTCAATTGGATCACAAAAACTACAACTAGTCAGTATATGTGTTTGCTTAACATGCTCAAAACCCTCAGATTATGTTAACACAACAAACGAAAAATCATCGGATGTCTTGTTCTTATAAATACGAAATATGTGCTCCACGAATATTATACACAAGCAAAACATACCTTCAAGACCCATTGTGAGTGCGACTGGATCTCCACTACAACTACTTGGCCAGTATAACGTAACCACTAACACATTAAGCTCAGAGCATTTCTTCAGCCTCATAAAAACATTTGTCAAAGTCTGGACATTGAATCCTAGCACTTCAACAAACCACTTAATGAAGCTCTGAAGCAAATAGCCATGAATGATAACTTGCAACCTCTCATTATCGAATTCTCAGCCCCTGCTTAAAAAAATATTTCAGTTTCAGCAACAGACTTTATAAACAAACAGAAGGTGCTCCAGTGGGTTCCGCATCATTACCTGTCATCTTCAACCTATTCAGGAGCTATTTCAAAACCAAGGCTTTGAACAACGCCACGAAGAATCCCAAATTATGTCTGAGATATGCGACAATATTCTAATCATTTGGCCTTGTGAAAAAGAAGAACTCGAACTTTTCGTGACATACCTGAACCAATCTAGTATATCTCATCGATGGAAAAAATTAACAAGATCATACGAAATGACGAATCCAGCACACAGTCAATAGGAAACCAATATGTACTAACATATACTAACATCACCATCCAGCATGAATACAAGTGGTAGCCAACAGCCAAATCTGAAAGCCTAACAGATGGAGGCACGAAGGAACAAGACATGAAAGATATACAAAAAGATCTTCAGCGGAATGGGTATTAGAATCATACAATTCATAATGCAACACACTGCAGAAAGGAAATAATTGATGAAGAAAACAGACACAAAATGAATATACGACCTCCTGTCGTATGTTACCCTTATTTGGAATAACGCAATCAAGAAACGTGTAAAGTCAAGAGCTATTGCACTCAATATTTCTAAGGCCCTTTACCGTGTGTGGCATGAAGGTCTGCTGGCAAAACTTCGATGCTATGGCTTGTCGGCTCATTTTTGTGTGAGGCTCTCCAACTTCCTGAAGAGACGTTTCCTGCAAGAGGCTCTTCAACCCTCTTTTTATTGTATATCAACGACTCATTGAAGAACACAAAGATTCCAATATATTGCTTAGCTGACGACAGCACACTTGTCTCATCATTTCATATGGATTCCAGGACATCAGCTGCGGATGTACATCTTCACCGGCAGTAGGAGGTTGCATATCTTAATGAGAATCTGGAAGTGATTTCGAATTGTGGTGAAGGTAACCAGGTTCAATTCAATGTCACAAAAACTTAGGCATTGGTTTTCTCCAAAAGTATAAATAACTCCGATCTGGATATACCCACTAATGTCAGAGCAGATAACTCCGCTTTCTGCTTCGATGAGTTTTTTCAGGGTTAAAATGGACACCAATATGTCTTGGCACAATTATGTTGCTGGAATTGCAAAGATTGCTTCTCAAAAGGTTGAAACACTGTTTTGAAACGAAAAACTGTACACACATCAGCAACTTTTGATGCTTCATAAAGCTCAGATCAGACCTTCTTTGGAGTTGTTCTGATGTATAGAGCTCCGTCCCTGAGAATACCCTGAATCTGCTGGATTCCACCCAGAAAGGAGTCATCCGCCTGATTGAGATTTATTTCTTTGCATGACCTACACATCTCCGCAAAGGGTTTATTTGAGAATCAATTGTTTTATTGATTTCTTTGGAAAATCCTGTATCAGGAGGGTTTGTTTTTTTATAACTGTTCATGAACAAAACCATCTTAGTTTTGGTGAAAAAATATTTTTTATATACTCAATCATTTACATCGCTCAATGACTTCATTAGAATCATTTTTTCATCTAATATATCATTTACGGGTATCAAATATGCATATTTCCTGGTATGAACAAAAGAATAATGAATATCTAACTGCTTATTTTAATATGCTCAAAGGGTACGTTCGTACTCATTGTGTAAAACAGTTTTTGATAGGTAATATTTGATGATATGAAAATTGATTATTCATTATAATTGATTTTCTGAAATTCATGTTAATCAAAGACAATTTTGTTACTTGTTCATTGGTCCTTTGAAGTGGAGATAATTTTACTGTATTGATAACGCATGTCAGATGATTTATTGTATTTTTTACAGGACTTCCTTTGATTTTCATCGTTCTTTGGGCAGTAGTGAAATGGTTTATACCTTTGAGCAATCAGTCACCAAATTCAGTAAGTATTAAGATGTTATATGATGGAATTGGCCGACAAGTAACACTTTGAAATTTCCACTGGTAATTTTACAAAATCGCAACACGTGTTTTTTTGTGCATCAGCTTCTTCAAGCGTTTTTATACCATCTCACAATGAAGTGTTTTTGTACCAATATTACATACTGTGTATTGATCGTTACTTTTTAATTTGTAGATTTGATGGTTACTAATTTCAGTTATGATTTTTTTCATTTCGAATACAAATTATTTAGAGCTAATCAACCAAGTTTGTAGGTTTAGTGCCTGTTCCTAGAGTGAAGTATATTTTTTCATTAGTTACTTTATAAGTTGGAATATAGACAACATGATAAAGAAACGCTCATTCTAGTTACACAAAGGCGACATTAATATCATTGCTTCATTGCTTCTGGTCATCGGTGGACTTCTCAGTAAACATGGCCAAAAAAAGTAGACTGCGCATATAGTTGCCTAAGAACTCAATTAGCACAAAAACAAGTGAAGAATTAATTGAGGTAATATTCCTCAGGAAAAGTAGCTTTTTTGTGTGTGAGTGGAAATATCAAGCCAAATTTTCACATTATCAAAAATTCGTTTGGATGGGTTAGGGGAATTTTCAGGGTTTTTTTTCAAAAACGTCCTTCTTTGAAAAAAAATGTGTACCTCAATAGTGAAACTTGGTCAACTAGACTGAAACTACCCATAGAATATAGAGTTGAGCCATATTCGAACGATAACAACGATCCCATTTCCCAATCTAAAAATTTTCAGGTCATAGAAAGTAAATAAGGCAATAGTAGTGACACAAGTACTGAAAACTGTTTCGTTCCTGAAGGACGCTTTTTTGAAGTTTGAAGACTTTTTCAGTTTCGCACAAATTTGAATTTGTAACCCTTGACTATATGTTTTTGTGACTTCGTCTGACGTAAAAGGTAGAGTTTTGAAGGTGGTTGACAATGTTGAGTGAAGTATTTCATCAGTTCGGACTTCCGTTGTCTAATATATGAAATTCCCAAAAACATCAATAAAACTTAAAAAGAATAGCTGAAAATAATAATTATATTGAGCAAAAACAACCCTGAAATGAAATTACAATGAAATAAATAACAAGTAAAAAATGGAACAATTAAAACAAGAAATGAAAAA